GCTCAACAGACAACTCTCCCCCACACCTTTTACAGCAGAGGAGGCATCGGCAAGCTGCTGAAACCACCAACAAACAAGCCTTTTGAGGCTTTAATTCTGCTGTCAGGATGCCAGCAGGGACCCAAGTCCTAAGGAGATCAAATTTGTACTGAGGGATACTTGGAGAAAGCTGGAGTGATGAGGGTACGTGAGGGGCTGAGCATTCCTAGCACCTGCTTCCTCTTCATGGACTTTTTTTCCCCCCTCCACTTTGGACTGATGACAAGTAGTCTCCCACAAGGAAAATCCTGTACTGAGCTTCAAAAGATGGGGGCAAGTATCTTGTTTGCTAGAATTTTGGGGTACCAGAGCACTGCGACTCACTGGTGCTGTGAGCTCTCACCTTGCTGGACACAACTGCTTGGCAGCTGCCTACAGCACAGGAAGCTCCTCGACATAAAGCTGAATGGTGCTGGCTCCTGTGTTTGACTTCCAGGTTCTGAGACACAAGGAGAACTAAAAATATCCCAATTAACCATTCTTTTTCAACACAAGATTTGATGATCGTGCCACAAGGGTATTATACAACTACAAACAGGAACATGTGGTCTGCAAATCAAAAAGAAATCAAACTGAGCAAACAGGTGGCCAGGACCGTAACCTCTGAATTCAAGCGTGGACCACATCCAAAACTGTGGAGGAGCTTGTGCTACTTGCAATTGTGGTGGCTAGCTCTGAGGGGCTTGCAAGCTTTCTGATGTGACACGCACAGGGTATATAATTTCTGCTCTGCATTGCTTATATACAGGAATCTTGTTCTGGCAATAGCCCATGGAAGCTGTCTCCAGGGTCAGCTGGCTCCTTAGCTCGATGCCATGCAGCACATCAGGAGTTAAGCAGGGAAATTTTATTCCTGGTCAAACCCATTGCCTCTGGTAGGCTCTGGAGCTAAGGATTTCTTCACATGCAGATTTAGCAGCAAATTTTTTTATCACTGCCCAATCTTTACACTGACATCTAGACTTTAAACATAGTCTGTGGGTAATACTGGAGTACATTACTCACAGCAGTGCACCCGGGAGAACCAGCAAATCCTCTCCATTTGAGCCCGAGCGTCGGCTTTACCCTGGAATTACATTTATCTCTCTGGCACTAGGCTCCCATTAATGGAATTACCAGGCAGGCTGCTTCAGACTTAACACTTGAGAGAAGCGGGCTGGGATGGCTCCACTCCAGCCTCAGTCCGAAAAGCCGGCACTGTTTCTCCATCCTCCAGTGAGCTGCAGCCCTAACGAGCCCGACCCCGTGACGAGAGCCAGGGAAACAAAAGAAACAACCCCAAACTGTCCAGGGCAATCAATATCTTTCTAGGAACATCCAGGCGTCTTGCCAGCTTTCTTCTAACCCTGATTTAGCTCTTCTGCAGTGCAGAGGGGGATGGCACGCGCAGGAGCAACCCAGCGGGATGCAGAGCCGGCAAGCGTGGCTGGCACTCGGGGAGGCCAGTCTACAGCAGTCCTTCTACAAATACCTCACACTGAGGGTGTCAAAGCAAACACACAACTATGGAAAGCACCCATCCACCTCGAAAATCAGAGCAAGCACTCCAGTCTGAACACTTGTTTTAGAAATACCATTGCTACTTAAAATGGGGAGGTGTATTGTAGCAAACCAGCCAAAATTGCTAACCTCAGCACGAGAGGTTACCCTGCACTTTCTAGAAAACTGTCTTCCATCGCACAGCAGCTACTGCACTGCCATGTTGAGCAATCTGCAGCGTGGCATGAACTGGATACTTAAAGCACCCCTGCACCACCCAACAAAATGGACAACTGGGAGCATCACAGGCTGCTGAAAGCCAAAGGGGATGCAGCAATCAACCCTACTGCAAAGCTGCACTGATAGCTCTGCAGTTTCAGCACCTCTGTGGGCTGTTCTTTGCACAGAGCAGCTGTAAGCTTCTTTAGATGGGCTTTTCCCAGTCACCTGCAAAGGGACTTCTCTAATCTTGGCATGGAGTGAGCATAAGGTGAAAACAGAAATTCACCAAAACTTGAACAATGTTTGCCCCAGATATATAGAACCAGGAGCACAGAACTGCCAAACCAAGTGGAAGATAGAAATGGTAAAGCAACTGACTTGCAGAGTATAGACATGCCCTTACCAGCTTGAACTGTGGGAGCTGAACTCCTCTCTCCTGTAATTAAAAGGCAGGAGAGGAAAGCATTGGAATTACCCCAGTGTGACTGTGAAGGACTGACAAGCTTTGAGTTTCAAAGTCCATCTTAACACACACTCTTTGGTGCCATTTTAATCCTAAAGAAAAGGAAAAAAAAGAGGTTTTGCTGTGAGAAAAGCTGCCATACAACCTTGGTATTAAACAACACAAGGTGCAAATGAGGGAGGACTGTGGCTGGGGTTGACCAAGCAAGGCTGAAGGCAGTCCTGTCTCCCCCCCCCCCGCCCCTGCATTTACTCTGCCAGTTACTCTCAGCAACACAACGATTCAGAGAGACAGACTGCCCCGTGACAGGAAAAACACATGTAACACCCGGGTGGTGAAACCTCACATCTGAGAGCATCTATGCAAAACACAGCCTGAAACATATTTTCCAGCTCCACAGAGTCAACTTCATGTTTTGCAAAGCCGAGCTGGTGAAACACTACCGGTTACATCCAAGATGAGATTTGCCAGCAGACGTTACTCTCAAGCATCTCCCTATTTTCTGCATATCAGAAAAAAAAAGAAAAAAAAGAGAAGCCTATGGGTAAGATTACGGGGTCCTGCAGCTGGAGGTGATGCAAAAGAGACAGGAGGACATCACATAAAAAAAAATTACACAAGTGCAATACTCTTCAGCCTGGCACCCAGTGGAACAGCCTAGCTACGAAAACTACTTTCTTTTCAAAAAAACCTATAAAGGTAAGGAGCCATCGGAATTATGAGGCAAGCTCCAAGATAAGAAATCATGCTGCTGGATGGGTGCGGCTGCCTGCTTGTTTGGTTGCTGTTAGGGTTTTTTCAAAAGATAAACATGTCTTTCAGAACATGTTTGTTGGCCAATCTTCTCTCTGCTGAAAAAAAAAAACCAAGAAGGAAGCTCACAACTGTGAAAACGATAAATGAAAGGCAGGACAGTTTCCGATGGGCTGACATCACGCTTCATGGGCCCTTTAAAGTAAGATGCAACATATCAGTATGTTGAAAAGAACAAAAGAGGAGTAAATTTAAAATTCCAAGTAATTCAGTAAAATATCATTCAGAAAAGCTATTAAGCAAACTCTGCATGAAGCAGAGCCCACTCATAGACCAGAACCTGTCAAGGAAAAGAAATAAATGTTTTATATCTATTTCAATTTTAAAGCTGTTGATATATAGGAGTATTTAATCAGAAATTCACAGTCTGGAAGAGGCTCACTGAGCAAATCCATCCAGGAAAAAAAGTAACTTGTATATCAGAGGCAGAACTAAGGCAAATCCCTTAGGAAGGGTGTAATATTGAGGAGAGAATGTTTTGAATCCAACAGAACGATGACTTGAACACAGCCACGACAGAAGTACAAAAGTACTGCAGGAAAGCAAACAGTGTAAAGGACTCAGAAATTCAATGGAGCAAAAGCCGCAGCAGGTCCCATTGCTCTCGCCAAATTCCCTGCTGCTCAGTGAATTGCAAGAACTTGGTGACAGGCATCACTGCCTGAAGCCCAGACAGCTCAGCCCAGGACTTTGCTGCTTTCCAAACACAAGGTGTTAAGCAGCTACCATCGAGGTTATACAACAAGGTTATTTGGTAATCCCTTTGGTTCAGAAAGAATTTTGCATTGGCCATCAATGCAGTTTGGTTTTGCCTTTTCTTGTTCAAGAACACCAGAGGGGAGGAAAAGTGACCAAGCACAAGGCAAGCAATTTACTAGAATGACAGGTTTTTAACTAAGTCCTGGATATCACTGCTGCTGAACACCGATTTAAATTAAAGTGGCAAGCCCATCAATAGCCTCATCTTCCTCAGTACAGTGCTGGCAAAGAAAGGTCCCAATGCTCTCACCTGCTTTGCTATGCACATCCTGATTAAGAGCATCCCCTTTTCCCACCAAAAACAGGGCACCAAAATCCCATCTCATCAATGCAGCTCCCCAGAAGGCTCCAGCACATGCCCTCATCTGCCATTTCGACAGGCCCCCAAAAATCCCTGTTCCAGAGCAAGCAACTCCCTCCTTGCCCAGCGAGGAGATGTTGTCTTTAACTTTATTTCAGCTAGAGCACAAGGGCATACGGAACGATTTCTTGAGGAAAAAGACCTCACGATTCACCCTGGTGCCAGATACCACTTTTGTGGGTGGTGTTTTCCGAGGAGGTGAAAACACGCACGGCAAGGCGGGGGGAACCAGCTGCCAGCAGCAGGCTGGCTCATCAGGCACTTGAGCTGTCGCATCTCCAACTGCCCCAGACACCCGGAGGGACCAAGCCCGCCCGTCTCACCATCGCTGCCAGCTGCATCCCCGGCAGCAGGTATTTTGGAGGCTCCCCTGGCTGCCCACTCGGCTCCCAGGCCGAGCCCCCCGAGCTCCCGCAGGGAACAGCGGGGCGGGGTGCGGGCTCTGTGCCCGCAAGGACCGTGCCTGGCTGCGGGGAAGGCGAAGCCTCCCCGAACAGTAACCGCGGCCATCCGGGCCGCTCCCGCGCTGCTCCATCAGCTGAGGTGGCTCAGTATTTTGTGGGGTTTCTTTTTGTTTGTTTGTTTCGTTCTGTTTTGACCTCAATGCAGCCCCATGGCGGCTCAAAGGACCATCCCGGTCCCCCGGCAGAGTGTCCGCCGGGAGCACAGCCCCGCGCTCGGACCCCCCCCCCCGCAGCCCCCCGGTGCACAGCCCTGTGCATCCTGCCTCCCAAACACACAGCCGCCCCAGGCACAGCCCTGTACAGCGCCCCCAGCACACAGCCCTCTGCAGCCCCTCCAAGCGTGCAGCCCCTCGCAGCCCCCACCACCCCATTCCCATTCCCGCCCCGCTCCGGGTCTCACCGCGGGGCGCATCCTCCTGCCCCGGCGCGCGCCCAGCGCCCAGCCCAGCCCGGCCCGCCGCGCGCCGCCGCCGAGCCCCGGCCGACGCGCTTCTGCGCAAGCGCAGTGGGAGACCCAACTGGGAAGTGCAACGGCCGGCAGCGCACGGTGTCTCGCGAGAAGAGAATATGTGCGCACCGGTAGAGCACCCAGTCAGGGTGGGGAATTAGCTCAAATGGTAGAGCGCTCGCTTAGCATGCGAGAGGTAGCGGGATCGATGCCCGCATTCTCCAAGTACTTTTCCTGCTTTACTTTGCCAGGCCGCAGCCCCAGGCCGCAGCCCTTCTATTCCTTCACAGTACACAAGTGCAATACTGGTTTTGCTTTTTTAAATTTTTCATGTCCTTATTTGCTTCCTTAGCATTTCTAAAGATCATAGAATCATGCAGAATATCCAGGGTTGGAAGGCACTTACAAGGATCACCGAGCCCTGCACAGGACATCCCAAGAGTCACACCATGTGCCTGAGAGCATCATCCAAAAGCTTCTTGAACTCTGTCAGGCTTGGTGCTGTGACCGCTTCCCTGGGGAGCCTGTTCCAGTGCCCAACCACCCTCTGGGTGAAGAAACTTTCCCTAATATCCAACCTAAATCTCCCCTGACACAACTTCAGGCCATTCCCTCAGGTCCTGTCACTGGTCACCACAGAAAAGAGATCAGTGCCTGCCCCTCCTCTTCCCCTCACCAGGAAGTTGTAACTGCAATGAGGTCGCCCCTCAGTCTCCTCCAGGCTGTGAACAGATGAGTGACCTCAGCTGCTCCTCATACGGCTGCATAATACATGTGCCTATCCCATGCTTAAGGCAAGCAGAGTGCTCTCTGTCTATTCCCGGTACTTTGAGGGGGCCGTTTGCTTTCTTATTTGATATTGGACGAGGCCAGCAGCAGGGACCAGCTACCCACTGCCTCCAGTGCTTCCCAGCAGCTGTGGCCCCAGCCATCATCTACCTGTTCATCCCATCCAGGAGCAGGAGGCCTCAGAGATCTCCTTTTCCTGGGAGCCTCCACTAGAGCTGAAACACTCATTTGCCTTTAGTAAATTTGAGAAGGAATCAAAACTCCTCAAGGAGTCATTGACGTAGGTGCCATTTAGTAGAAAAAGTCAAGCTCAGTGAATTTATCCAGGTGCTAAGTTCAGGAAAATACTCAATTTCTTCACATTCTGCTCCTATTCTACTGCAAAAAGCCCCAAGGAATAACCAAAGGCTTTAAAGAAAAAGAGAAGCAGTTTTTAGAAACTGAAGGTTTATCATGAAAAAACTCCAACCCCACAGGATTACACTCAGTTGGCATTTCTATCCCAGTTACTAGCTAAACGGGAAGCCAAAGGTGGAAAACAATTCTGCACACTTTCTTGGGTTACATGCATGAGGAAATGACCTTCCTGGCAAATTTCAATAACAAAGAGTGGAATTCAGCTTTCAAGCTTGCTCGCAGGCCCCCGCCAACACATGAGGAAACTGCAGAACATCCCACTCCCAAACCTTCACAGTGAATTAATTGACAATTAGTTCCTAATAGTCCAAAGAAGAACAGGATTGAAGAGAGGATGCAATGGGTTGAACACAATGATCTTGGAGGTGTTTTCCAACCTTAATGACTCCATGATTCAAAGTGATTTTTTGGCACAAATAACCACGAATTCTCATGGGTAATCTCTTAGAGATTAAAAAGAGATGTCTCCACTGGCAGAGGACATCTACAATTCCTTTCCACAAAATGACAACTGTAACACGCAAACTGAAGTCTGAAAAACAAATGAGTGTATGGTTGTTGGGATTTTTTTTAGCTTGAAGATTTCATCCTTGCCTTTTAAAGCTGGTTTAAACTCAGGCTTCTGAGTTCCATACAAATTCATGAAATAACTAGCTGTCACTACAGTGGTCTTTAAAGCTTCAAAAAAGATTTGATTCTTCTTATGTAGCAGGATTTAACAGGAAAGTGAAATCCATCGGTCTCCTATTTCATCAGCTGCTACACAGCTGGCATGAAGACACTGTGTTGTGAAATACATTTGTGTCTGGTCTGGTCCTGTCATTTTCCCTCTAGCTTTGGTCTCACCTCAACCCTCAACCCCTTCAGTATCTTGGTGACCACGGGCAACCTCGGCGTGATGGAAAACCACTGGACGGTAAGTCTGGTCAAACTGATGCTGCATCGCCCTCTGCAGACGGGCAGGCAACGACTGCCACGGGCTGAGGCAGAAGACACAGAAAAGCAGGGATGTGAGAAAAATTCCTCTGACCGTACTTTTTCTGCAGGTCAATGCAGTCCAATGGTTGATGAACATATCTGGAAAGCTCCATTTTCTTGGGGCTCCATTTTCACTGGACCCACGGTGAAAGACTGTATCCAGAGGGATAAAATATGACACATATAGTCACAGCATTATTTCATTATAATGCTCCGCACTCCCCCCAAAAAACGAAACCAGCATGAAATGGAGAGACCAGCTTTTCTTTTACAAGAACAAGCCGACCACATCAGAACAGCAAAAATTTCCTCCCTAATGGTTTTCTTGTGGGAATCTATAATGAGCTGCCACAGCATGGAACATCCGCATGCGTGCATGCACACATGCGAGTCAGGGTAAGCATTTTCCTGTATTTACTGAGGAACCCAAAGCTTACTCAGCCACCTCATAGCTCCCAGCCTATTGCTACCAGCATCTGTTTATTGACCTCTTTTTTTTTTTTTTTTTTTTTTTGGCTCCTGAGACATCAGTTGAGCCACAGTGTCGGGTTCTCTGGCTCCACAGATGCTTTGTTCCCCAGTGCTTAATCAGCCCACTGGCTCTTCAGGAATGACTCAAGTTTTGCATTTCTTCACCCTACAAAGCCTTACTTCAAGTTCACACACAGGCTCAAGGAACAAATGGCTCCCAGCAATGGATCAAGAAGGAGTTAGAACAAGCCTCTCAGAGCAACAAATGGAACTGGGTATATGCTTATGACTCGCTGTTTTGATCACCATGGCTGAATTTATGGAACGAATTTGCTTGTAAGGATGGCAGAGTCAAGTTAGCAAAAGATCTGCAACTACTCTTAACAATTTTATTGTCTTTAATTACTATTAAATATATGCACAGAGGCATCTTGAGAGCAGAGAGAATGGAACAGGAAACTGCTAGAGGGGAAAAGGCAAAGCTTTCAGCTTACACTAATGGCCTTAATTTAAGTATCCTTTTGTAAGTTTGCTCTAGGGTTATGTGTGTAAATTTAGTTTTAAAAGTAAAGTCATCTTAAATGCAGAGATATATTTCAACTTCCTCAGATCCCACAGCACAAGACCTACACTTCATGGGTCCATGGCAGCCGCGCGCAAAAGCAGCAGGGACAAGATGGACCAACGTAAGGGGAGCACCTAAATAAAGGGGAGATAAATTTGAGTGAACTCAAAATGGACATGGAAAAATTGTGATAAAGAAGGGAACACAGGGCAGAAGTCCCCATCAGACTCCTCAAGGAGTCAGACCTGAGTCTGTACAAACAATCAAATGGACATACCTTCCATGCCAGGAGTCTTCCACTGTTTGTGCAGCAAGACCCATGCATGTATTTCTCACTACTGTTTGCTGTTGGCTTTCTTAGCCCCATTTTGCATTGTTTCCTCTGGACTTGCGTGTACGTCAGTGAATAGGACAGCCTGGTCCTGCTTGCTGGGGGGAGAGCAACAGATTTGTCCCAAGATGCCTCTTGTTGTCAGTGAGGACAGCCAAAGGGATGACAGAGAGATAAAAGCTGATAACATTTTGGCATGGCTATTTGGCTTGTAAATCCAATATTTCACAAGCACAGACCAGTGTGTATTGGGTGCCTTGTGAAGGGCAGGAGGTCTACAGGAGGTCCACGTGATGTAAAGGTTTCTGAAACCTCTAACAAACACTGGACTTTGTCCTTTAGAGAATCCTGGCATGTGCAGTGGAGCAAGAATCAACAGTAGAGAGATGCCAGCAGGGGTGAGATAGGAAATGAGACCTTTGCTGTTTGGCTGAATGACAGGCCTCTGATTTCAAAATGCCTAGTGGACCAGGAGATGGTGCAACTTCTTGCCAGTGTTCATTCTTCCTAACACTGGTGGTCTTCCTGGGAGCATCGTGCCAATGCAGAAGGGTGGAGACACCCTTCACCAGCCACAGCATTCACCCAGAGAGCATCCTAATAAGCAGAACTCAAAAGCTTGTGCCATCCCCAACCTTGTGCCCCAAATTTTTGCCTGTGGTTCAGTAGATTTCAGGTCAGACCTGAAACAGGCACAAGGACTGTTCTAGCTAACTCTTTGTGTGGACAGTCCAGTGTCTCCTGGGAGGGAATGGGAAAGAGGTGCACTCTCTAGCATTCAGCTCTCTTCTGGGCACTAAGGAAGGTGGGTTTTAGCTCGTTGAGCTCTTCTGGTGGTCGGTTCCCATCTCCTCCAGAGGAAGGATAATAAAGCTAACTGGGGGGAAAACCTCTAGGGCTTCACCTGGGGCTCAGCAAAGGCTCTGTTTCCCAGGTTGCGCTGCCATCTCCTCTGTCAGCATCAAGAGCTGCGGGAGGGAAAAATGCAGCTGGCCTTCTGCCTCCGGCTCATTTGCAGGCTATTGAAACATTAATTCATCTTCACACCATAGAGGATGGGGAAAGAAAGCAGGTTTCTTCAACCTGCAATTAGCATGTGATGCAGCTTGAGTGATGGCAGGGCATTCCTTGGGGAGCAGAAGACCCAGTGGGAATTTGGGAGGAGGAGGTGTAGGAATGGGTTCATGCTTGCTGCTGAGAGGCAGCAGCTTTAGGGAGGCACGACCAGGGCTGTTCCCAAGGGACCCTTCCAGGTAGTGTGAGCATCCAGCTTGTGCAGAAGCAAGGGGCTGCCCGTGCCCTAGGCCCTGCTGAGAGGTGGGATGGATGACCCCTAGGTGAGGTGACAGGTAATCAGTAATGTGCTCAGCATCACTCCTTGGCCAGGTGGGGCAGGGCTTGCCTGGGGAATGGAGAAACTATGCAATCTCCAGCATCTCTATCCACACTTCAACAGTGTGGTGGCCTC